AATTTTTTGAAGGAGCAAGAGGGAGGAGCTGAATATGCCTCATTAGCATACGCAGCCACAGTGATCAGGAGCAGGCTGTGAATGAAAGCCCTCTTTGGGCTTCCCTGACATTGGCGGATGGGAAGTGTGGAGCTGATCAAGGCTAGACTGAAGGACCTGCATGCAGCCTGAGGAAGAGGAGGAGGAGGAAAACAGGAGGGAAGAGGGAAAGGAAGAGGAGGAAGGATGAAGGAGAGGATGGAAGTAGGTTGAGGTTCTTGGAGGAAGATTTATCTCTGACTTGCTCAGGTCTGTTGTTCATAGGGTCACTATGAGTCATGCTCGTCTCAATAGCACCTAACAACAACAACAACAACAACAATAGTGTAAATGGTTAATGCACTGGACTCAGCTCAGCAAAAAAGACCTGGTGGTCTGTTTCTGAAACATCTTTCTCTCATCTCGTTGCTATTGAGTTGTGAGTTGGAATCAACTCAGAGCTGACCTTTCAGTGGTTTTTCAAAGCCTGTAAATCTCATGGGAAGAGATTACCCATTTTCTTCCTCAGAATAGCTGGTAGACTCGAACTGGCTGATTTTGGGTTGGCAGCACAATTCTTTACCACCAGGATGCCAGAGCTCCCTTCTGAAAATTCAGCCAGTTGAGAGTCTTATGGACCACAATTCTGCTTTGACAACCGTGGAGTTGCCAGGAGTGGAAGTTGGCTCCAAACAACTGGCTGATGGAGATGAGAAAGTGTGAATGGACCTCCTCTCCCCTCATCTTAGTCAGGGATGAGCAAGAGCCATCACTCTGCCTCCTAGACCAGCCTTTCACGTTGGCCCATTGGGACTCCAAGGCGAGATGTTGGGGGAGGAACAGTTTCCATTAGGACTTAGGTATTTATTGTAGCCTGTCTGAATATAAACACAATAAGCTCCTCAAGCCCATTACATCCTGGATATGAGGGCTCAACATTGACCCGACGAAAAGAGTGATCTAAAGCACTATGATGGGAAACATCTAATGGTGTTGGCAGAAATTGTGACAGAGGCAAGTCCTTGATGGGACTCTAGGTAAAGCTAGACTAAGGGCAGTTCCACTGTCCTCATCTTCAGAAGCGCATCCAATGTGCTTGCTCCTTAGAGACAAGGATGGTGAAACTTGGTTTCATGTACTTTGGGCATGTTGACAAGAAGGACTTGTTATTATGTGCCATCCAGTTGACTGGGACTCCTAAACGACCCTATGAACAGCAGATCTGAAACTTGGCCCCTATCCTGTGCCATCCCCACCATCTCTGACTCACCTGAGCACATGGCTCAGTTCACCTTGTTGTGGATCTTCTTCTCTCACATTTACCCTCCACCTTTCCAAGCATGATGTCCGTCTCCAGGGACTGGACCCTCCTGACAACATGTGAGGATGGAGAATGCGAGATGTAGTTTCACCATCTTTGCCTCCAAGGAGCACCTTGGTGTCACTTTCTCCAGCACAGACCTGCTTGTTCTCTTTGCAGTCCATGGGATATTCAGTACTCTTCTCCAACACCACAACTCAATGGCATCTGTTCTTCTTCTGTCATTCTTAGTCATTGTCTAAATTTCAGATGACAAGAAGGACTAGTCCTTGAGACAAGATATCATGCTGAGAAGGAAGGAGGGTCAGAGAAAGAGAGGAAGACCCTCAACAAGATGGAGTAACACATTGATAGTGACAATGGCCTGAGCAGATAAGAAAGCATGAGAATGGCTAAGATAGAGCAAGGTTCAGAGCTGTTATTTGTAGCATCGCTATGAGTCGTAGTTAATTTGATGGCACCTAACAACATCCTTGCCCCAATATCCCTGCAGCAGCCTCTCACTTTCCTACCATTCCACACCCTGCCCACTTGCAGCGTCTTCCAAGCCCAGTCTGATACTGTGCACTGGCTGACTCAACATGTCTGTTGACCTTTCATTGTTTCCCAAACCATTGTGCTCTGTGGTCAACAAGCATAAGGTGTTCTGCACAAAATACACCCTGCACCTATGGCTGTATAAAATTTATCCCCAAATTTACCAGCCTAAAACAACAGACATTTCTCAAGAGTAGTTTTATCTACGTGGTCAAGCTCAGGCTCCCTCATGAGGCTGCAGTCAAGATCATATCGAGACTGCAGTCACCTGGACACTTGACTGGGGTTAGTGGGTCTCCTTCCATACTGACTCACTAACGTCGTAGTGGATGATGCTGGCTGTTGGCAGGAGGCCTCAGTTCTCACTGTGAACCTCTTCATAGGAGTGCTTGGGAGCCTCACCACCTAGAGCAGCTAGCTTCTGCCAGCACAAGTGAGTCAAAAGAGAACACACACACACACACACACACACACACACGCATCACAGTGTCTTTCATGGTCTAACCTCAGAAAACATATGCTGTCACTTCTGTTAAATGCTTCTGGCCACTCAGACCAATCCTAATACAATAGGGAAGGAGATTATACAAGAGCATAAATAGTGTGAGAGATCAGAGGCTGACCACTCAGCACAGGGTGTGTTGATGCAAGCCAAGTCCAACAGGATCCAGCCCTAGAGAGTGTCCCCGAGTCCCACAAAACACCCATGTTGGCTATGAAGCTGCATTTCCCAATAACTGTGGCCACAGAACCTATGTGTAGAGGAGGAGGATCTAGAGCTATAGGAAATCAAAGGAATGCTTTGGAAGACTTTGACTTGGAAAGGGAAATTCAAACTCCTTGGCCTTGAACTTGCATGATCTGATATGAACTTAGCAATATAAATGATTTTCTCCTCTCTTTCCCTTTTGACATCTTTGGTCTAATGATACCAACAGTGATTTTGTATGCTTCTTCTACCTGTTGAGCCTTTATTCATTCAAGGCCCAGAGAGAAGGCCTCCATTTAAATGACAAGAATGAACACACAAGCCCACATCTCAGAGGGGGGGAAAATTCCTCTCTTTGCTTTTTTAAGAAATAAAGCAGTATATTTTGGGGAACACTTATCACTTTATCTCTCTTAACAGCTTTCTCTCTCTTATCTCCCCTTCGAGGCAGCCTCCCTCGTTGATTAGAACAACACTGGAACTGAATAAGTGTCTGTGAACTAGGACCTTCCTTCTTTTCTACCTTCTGCCTTTATCCTGGCCTTGCCTCTGGGAATGGTTTCTGTTGAGCCAGGAGATTTTTACTTTTCTTTTTTTCCTCTATTGGGTAAAACAAACAAATAACTAAGACTTGGTTTAGTAACCTTACTATGTCAGAGAATGTTGTTGTTGTTAAGTGCTATTGAGTCACAGGCGACTCGTAGCGACCCTATGAAGGAGAGTCCTCAACGTTTGAGTGTCTTTCATCCTCTCTCCAGGTTCATAAGGTTTCTGGAGGCAAGCTATTACGCAAGTGGATGTCACTCCTGCTTCCAAGCTTGTTTTAATTGGGGAGCTCCACCCCACTCTCTTTCAGAGAATAAGAGATTTTTTAAAACCTACTTCAAGATAGAAACATTCTTGTCTTAAAATAAAGAAAGCATCTGCCTTCATCTTCTTCATTACCCCCAATTCCCCATAACCATCTTCTTCATTCCCCAGTACCCTTTCCCAACCCAATAGGTCAAGTGGAAAGCCTAGGAGAAATTTTTTAACAAGGTGGAGTAGCTTCTCCTGGGTAAGGGAAGTGATGGTTGTCTCCTCCAAGCCTTTTGCTGGTCCTGCGTACCTCTGTGTCTGTTGTCTCAGTTATCAAGTGCTGCTATAAGAGATAGAATAGACGGATAGCTTAAGTGAACAGAAATTTATTCTCTTTTAGTGTATCTATCTATTTGATTGTTAGAGAGACAGAACCGACTCATGGCTGACCATCCAGCAGGTTGCCGAAACTGTAAATCAGATGGGAAGAGACTGCCCACCTTTTCCTCATGGAGTTATTGTTAGATTTGAACCACCAGAGAGGTTCTGCCTTTGGGTTAGCAGCACAACTTCCTACAGACTACACCACCAGAGCTCCCCGTTACAGTTTAAGAAGCTAGAACTCCAGCTTCAGGAAATACAGGGGAAGGTCTTCTCTGTTTCAGTTGTGGAGGAAAGTCCATGTTTCCTTCCGTATCTGTCAGCCAGTTATTCCTTGGAGATCTCCATGTGTCTGTATCTTCCCCAGTGTCAAGGAGTTTCCTAGGGCAGGAACCTGGGTCCAAAACAATGCACTCCACTCCTGGCGAGTCTTCTGTGATATTGCTGAGATTCCTCTCTCAGCTTCTTTTCCTCTCCTTTTATTTTACAGGCCACCCCTTGGGTTTGGGGAACCCTTAAGTGTTGCATTCTATCTTCAACCTTCTTGTTTATCAGATAATGAAAGTGTTGCATTCTATCTTCAACCTTCAGTTTATCAGATAATGAAAGATCATTTCATAGCTTCTGTATTACTGTTGTACATTTGTCTAGGGGACATGATTCAATCCATATCACCCAGGGAATGTCTTCTTCATCTCCATTCATTGCTCAGTACCCAAGATCTCAGACAAGGGGCCCTAAGCCATTTTATTGTCTCCAAAAGCTTAGTGGGTTTCGTAGGTCACATCTCATATTTGTAGAAATCCCAGGTCTTGCTGGAGCACAGAGAAGTGTGTGCTCCAGGGCCCTCCAGCTGCCCCTTGGTACCCTGAAGGACAAGCAGAGGAACTTCAGACCAGTAGGAAATGGAAAAATGAATGGTGGACTGTTTCACCTATTTGACTTTGGAAGTCAACCTTTCCAAATATTGGGCCAAGGACAGAGGTCTGGGAAGGGGCCTGGCAGAGGTGCTTCCTTTGCAGTTAGCTCTTGGTCCTCCTATTCCCAAGGAAGCAAGTGGGGATGACCTTACTACTTACTGGGAGGCCACAGGCTGGAATAGAGATGGCCATGACCAGGGTGAACAGGGCCTGTCCATTTTGATTTCTGCCCAGACTCTTCACTTGTAGCCAGGCCAGAGGTTTAAGGCCTTCTTCATCAGAGGGGATGTCTTTCCAGCTCCTTTCTTCCCCGTAGTGGCGTGGGCCTGGCTCGAGCACACTTTGAGAAGCAGCCCCCCTCCAACCTCAGGAAATCCAACTTCTTCCACTTTGTGCTGGCCATGTACGACCGGCAGGGGCAGCCTGTGGAGGTGGAGCGGACAGCCTTCATTGACTTCGTGGAGAAGGACCGAGTGAGAGGCTCGTGGGCTTGGTGGGCTGGGGCACGGCCTGGGGTGGGAGGACTTTGGGGACGCCCTTTCATGAGGGCTGGTGAGTCAGTGGGGTGGGTGGACTGGATGCATGGACGGGAACGTGGTTTAAAGAGGAGGATGGGCAGTGGAGAAGGATGGAGGGTTTCTGGGAGCACCTGAGCATCCTCCCATTTTGACCCTCCAGGAGCACGGAGCAGAAAAGACGAACAACGGGATCCACTACCGCCTTCGACTGGTGTACAACAACGGTGAGCAGAGCCCACTGCCCCACCCCCTGAGCTGAACCGAGGCAGTGCCTGGGTGCCAGGCGTGCAGGGTTCACAGTGTGGTCCAGCCCTCAAGGACCACGGATCTTCCTATGACCACAAACCCTCTCCACTTTCCCCACCAGGACTCCGGACAGAGCAAGACCTCTATGTGCGCCTCATCGACTCCATGTCCAAGCAGGTGAGCCACTCCTAGGGACGCTCAGGTCCACCCCACCCTCGGCTGGTACCTTAGTCTCCTGGGGAGCACCCTCTTCTGGTTCTGCGTTCTTGTCCCTGCCCTTATCTCCCCTGTCACTCCCATCCTCACCGTCTAGCCACCGTCATTTCTGCCCCAGCCCACAGCAGAGGGATGTGTGTGCCTCTCATTCTCAAGCTAGAAACATTTGAGCAGAGACTTTGTGTTAGTTCATGTTCTCTAGAAGCCTAGATGGGGATTTGGGTGCACTGGGTTTATTGAGGTGTCAGAGTTGCTTTTAGGTAAAGGGAGTGTGATGGAAGCAGGACAGGACAGGAGAAGGGCTGAGCAAACATGTGGTCTCGTCTGGAGTCCAGCCTCTTTAAGGACTCTTGACACGCAAAGCAATACCAGATATGTCCCCGCCCTGGGGGCAAGGAAGCATGGCGGGGTTTCTACTCCTTTTTCAACCAGTCATTTCTGGGGATCATTTCTAAGGGAAGAGTTTGCCTCCAAGATGGTCCAGGCAAGTCAGCTCCCACTTACTGAGAGCAGAGCTCTTAGCAGCCTTCGTTAAGTGCTTCCGAAGAGGGGTGGGCTCCTTGATCCAGTCCAAGGGTCTGAGGGGAGTCCCTGCAGCTTCTAATACAGGCAGGAGCCACCTGGCTGATGAGGAAGGGCCACAGAAGGAGGCCCAGTGGTCTGGTGTGGCCTTGGGGACAGAGCTCCTTCCTCGCCTGCTTGCTTCTTTCTCAAGCAGCTTTTATTCAGCACTCCAGCGTGTCAAGCTCAGACAGCCTAAGGAGTTCTGGGAAGTTGAAACCTGAGTAAGACCTAATGGATTCTGCCGAGGCAGGGCCCCAAGTCTCAGGGCTTTTCAGGGAAGTTGTGAGAGCTTCTAATGAGGGGGGTTGGGGCTCCAGTGGGCCAGATCAGTGGTCCTGGAATGAGAGGCGGGGTCTCCTGGAAGCATCCACCCGCTTCCAAGATAAAGGAAGAAATGGTTTGTTTTCAGACAGGCTGGTCTCAACAGAAAGGGAGGAGGCATCCAGGAGAAAAATGCAAGTTGCCCCAGAGTCAGTTCTTTGTGTAGAGTAAAATGTATGTGCTGAGCTTTATCTTCCAAGCTGTGATCATTTGGGAGTCTATCTCCATGTCTGACTTCTGATTTTGAACGCCCGCCTCTGGCTCATATCGCTTGCTCTCTGCCTCAGTCTCTCGCTCGCGCTCGCGCTCGCGCTCGCGCTCGCGCTCGCGCTCTCTTGCGCTCTCTCTCTCTCATTGCCATGTAATCAGAACTGACTTATCACGGAGGAAAACTCTCAACCAGGTGGATTGACACAGTGACTGCTGAAATGGGTTCTAGTGTGTGAGGAAGTGTGTGGATGGCTCAGGATAGAACAGGGTTCAGGTCTTTTGTTCACAAGGTCACTATGAGTCATACTTGACTCAATGGCACCCAACAACAACAACATCAATTACACAAGAAGAGATTGCCTATTTTTCCTCCCTCGAAGCAGTTGGTGATTCGAACTGCCTGCCTTTTGGGTTGGCAGCACAACTCCTTACCCACTAGGCTACCAGGGCTCCCTAGTCATCACTTAACCATTCATACCACCCAGAAGCACCCACAAATAGGGAAAGACCAGGAGACCCAGGAGGTTATAAACTGGGAAGCTAGATTTGCCAGTTAGGAAGTTCATCCCTTGCTTCAGAGCAGAGAATAGAGACTGGAAAGCCCAAGAGGGGACTGTTCCAACAGTTCAAGGGAGAGCTGCTGGCCAGGGGGTGAGGGGAAGGAGGAAAGAAATAGTAAGGGCCCTGGGGACTGATTAACTGCCAGGGAGAGCTGAAAGGGACCGTGCTTCTGAGCGGGAGGCAGAGGTCCACTGAGAACTTAGAAAACAGCCTGCACATCCAGGAGGATGCTTGAGCAAGGGAGGAGAGTGATGTGCGGTGGGGGTGGGGGCGTCCACCCCACCAGTCAGCAGCGGCTGTCCCGACTCTCACTAGCAGGCAGTGACTGCAGCAGTGGGCTCATGTGTGCCAAAGATGATAAAGATGGCACAGGACAGCGGGGTTCAGATCTGTTGTTCACAGGATCACTGTGAGTCACACTCGACACCACTCAACAACAACGACAACCAGCACCGCACAGATAGAATCCACTGACCACAGGCCCCTCTTGTCCAGCACTGTCCTGGGTTTGGGTTTGTTTGTGGTGGTGGTTTTTTTTTTAGTTTGTTTTTTTTAAATCATGCTCATTTTATTTTTTTTTTTACTTTTTTTTCTATTGCATTTTTAAATTAATTTTCATGAAAGTTTACAGAGACTTAGGGTTTCCATTCATTCATTGTTTCACTTTTCTCCCTGCTTACCCCCTCCCTCCCAATTCACTCTTCTCTGAAAAGAAAAAGAAAAACGTTTTCATTGCTATACAATCCCTCCCCCCAAGTCCACTCCACTGTGCAGCCTTCGTTCTGGACTCCTGTTATGACAATAATACCTAATCACATATCCCTTTTAAACAGTTCTCTTCCTCATCTGTTTCAATGCAGTATACATAATTTATCCCATCTTTCTCACTCCCCTCAGCCCCGATGTCAGTGCTGTTTTACAACAGTGTCACTATGTAGTATTTGTCCTTTTGTGACTAAGATATTTCACTCAGCATAATGTCCTCCAGGGTCACCCATTTTGTATATTGCATGAGTTCCTTGTTTTTCAGTACAGCATAGTATTCCATTGTGTGAATATACCACAGTTTCTCTATCCATTCATTTGTTGATGGGCACTTAGGTTGTTTCCAGCTCTTTGCTATTGTGAACAAAGCCACGATAAACATGGGTGTGCACATTGTCCTGGTTTAAGGGGTCTGTTCTCCTTGAGGCTAATCCCCTCCAGCCCATGCACTTTCCCCTCCCCAGGCCATCATCTATGAGGGTCAGGACAAGAACCCCGAGATGTGCCGAGTGCTGCTTACACATGAGATCATGTGCAGGTGAGACGGGAGGGGGACAGAGGGAGGGAGGGAGAGTGGGAGGGAGGGAGGACGACCTTGTCACTTTGCTAAGATGTTGCCAAGGCTCTTGCCAAATCCTTTCTGCCATGGTCCTGGGGGAAGTTTTGTGGGGGGCAGGGCGCGGCAGAGGAGTCAGCCCCTGGGCGTGGCCCTGGCTGAGCCCCTGGTCCTAGAGGCCCCATTAGCCTGGCCTGTTTATGTGGCTTCTTTAAGTGTTGTTGCAAGAGAGGCCTCCTGCTGATACTGCAAAGCTTCACTAATAAAACTCCAGGGAAGGGTTTGCAAGGGAGGTGAGGCAGGGCTGGGACCAAGTGACATCTGAGGGCCACTGGGACCAGCTGGAAGCAGGAGGAAGGAAGCCACTGCCTCCCCTGTGACCCCTGGAGCACACAGAGAAGGTGAGCAGCCCCCAGGGGACACAGCTCTTGAAACGCTCATCCTCATCACCCCAAAGCTTTGCATTTCTAGGTCAAGCCTCCCAGGAGATAAGAGCCTAAAAGCCAACCCTTTATGTATGGAAAAGAGAGGAGGAATCACTGTTGTGTGACAATGACAGTGGCTCTTAGGGAGGTGACACAGGGCATGCAGGTCACATGACATTCCTGGATGTGAGTGCTGGTTACATGGTGGGATCCCTTTGTGAGAACTCAAGCCACCTGCTTCCCAGCTGAGCTCTCCCTTCTGTGTGTAGATTATGTGACACACAGTCGAAATGTATAGAGAGGCCCTGGAAGGACTCCCTCCTGGATCCTTCGGGAACAACAAGCCTTTGGGATAAGGGTTTCCTGGACAACCTTATTTATTGCCATGGCTGGACTCTACCATTTCTGTTCTCTACAATCTAGCCTTGAGATTTAATTCCCTGAGACTGGACATCAGTATGCTAACTGATAGGCTACCCCAGACAGCTCACCCCTTTCACTAACACACACACACACAGAGAATAATCTTTCTCTACTACCTTCCTCCTTCTCCTCCTTCTTCATCCATCCTTCAGCCGGTGCTGTGACCGCAAGAGCTGTGGCAACCGGAACGAGACACCTTCAGACCCCGTCATTATCGACAGGTACAACTGGGGACCGGCCAGGAGCTGTAGGGCTGAGCAGGCTGGGCTCAGGGACACTTACTGGGCCAGTGGATCCAGGGAGGAGCTGAGCTGCTTTGCCCCTCCAGTGCCCCATGTTGGTGGGCCCAGAGTGGGGGAGAAGCTGTCAGGGACCAGACTTCTGGTGGCAGACTTTCTGGAGTGCATTAAGGAGCTGATGGAGGAGGCCTGGGAGGGCCAGGGGTTGGAGGAGGCCTGTTGAAGTGAAGGGCAGAGGAGGAGGCCTTGGAGGGAAGGGGTGTACTGTCACACAGAAAGCGGCTAGGGGGATGGAGGGGCTGATGATGGCTGTCAAGACAGGCTGGCTTCTAGCCTGGGTTGCATCACTTTACTCTATTTGACATGACTTCTCTGAATGTCAATTTACAGTTGACATATTTCAGTCATAAAACTGTCAAGGTAATGTGTGTGGAAATGCATTTTCCCATGAGAATTTTTTATATGATTTCACTTCTCTTAAAATATGAAATTTGTGTAAACCAGAAACCACATCTAGTGCCATTAAGTCATTTCCAACTCAGAGTGACCCTATAGAACAAGAGTGGAACTGCCCACAGGATTTCTAAGTCTTTCCCCTTTTTTGGATGAAAATGGTGCATCCTTCTCCCATGGACCAATTGGTGGATTCGAACTGCTGACCTTTTGGTTAGCGTCTGAGTACATTAACCACTGTGCCACAAATTCCTGTGTTGTTAGGAGCCATCAAGACAACTATGGCCACAGTGAATAATTTTTATTTATTTATTTTTTAAGTGAACTGGGGAGGGAGGAAAATGTGCAACAATGAATGAATGAAAATGCAACTTTTCTGTAAACTTTTGTTAAAGTCACAATTTTTAAAAATGGAAAAGAAACCCTAAAAAAAAGAAAAAGAAAAAAGATGACTACGACTCATAACAGTCCTATGAACAACAGATTGAAACCCTGCCCTGTCCTGTGTGAAGGTCATATACAAAGAACAAAAGCCAAAAAAGGAGTAAACAGTGAAATGTCAGTCAGACTTTTCATCATTAATTGTATCTGCTCTATGTATAAATGTATATTATATATAGATGTGTATGCTATATACAAAGATCTCTGTGTATATAGTACACTATACACACTTTTTAAAAACCATCAACAGCAGACCAAACTCTGCTGCAATGGTGTCAATTCTAACTCGTGGAGAACCCATGGGTTATAAAGTAGAACTTCTCCACAGGCCATAATCTTAATTGAAAGATTGCCAGGCCTTTATTCCACAGCATCTCTGGGTGAGCACCTGTCACCAACCTTTAGGTTATCAGTCAAACACAAACCATCTGTGTCAACTAAAGTGCTCTACACACTCTTACATGTCTTGCTTTTTTTTGGTAATAATGTGTCTCTGAGATCATTGCATATCAGAATGAAAGCTGTACTTTAAGCAGATAAAATACATAGTTCAAAAGATTCAAGCAATTTAAAAGGATTTATAGCTAAGAAGTGTTTTGCTTCTGTCTCCCATACATTGGTTCCCCACTAGATAAGCAGACTTTGTTCCCACTTTCTTGTGTATTCTTTCTAAGCTTATCTGTGTATGTATAAGAAAATACATATATAGGGTATTCCCCCCCCTTTACTTTTTTAAATTTCCATTCATTCATTGTTGCAGTTTTCTCTCCTCCCAACCCTTCCCCCTAGTACACTACCCTCTTGGAAAAGTAGAAGAAAAATCCTTTCATTATTTTACAATCCCTACCCATAGGCCCACTCCACTATACACTCTTCGTTCTGGACTCCTGTCATGACAAAAATACCTAATCACATATCCCTTTTAAACAGTTTTCTTCCTCATCTGTTTCAATGCAGTACACATTATTGAACCAATCTTTCTCAGTCTCCCCCCAACCCCGATGTCAGTCCTGTTTTACAACAGTGGCACCATGAAGTATTTGTCCTTTTGTTACTGAGATACTTCACTCAGCATAATGTCCTCCAAGGTCACCCATTTTGAATAATATTGCATGAGTTCCTTGTTTTTCAATGCAGCGTAGTATTATATTGTGTGAATCTACCACAGCTTCTCTATCCATTCTTTTGTTGATGGGTCCCCCTTTACTTTTATCTTTGTAAAAACAGTGGCATGCTGAACACATTTTCCAGCCCTTCGCTTTTCCACTGAATGATGTATATCCAGGAGCTCATTTTACATCTGTACATACATGAGGAGCTTCCTTTTTTGCATGTATTGTATGGATGGACCATAGTTTTAATTCTTTCCCAGGGATAGACGACGTAGTAATGAATAACTTTGTTCCTGTGTCATTGCAGACACTTGTTAATTCATCTCTTAAAAGTAGAAGTCAGTGCTATCTCAGGCTGTTTTCCAGAGGAGCAAAACTAATGTAGTATTTTGTTCTTGGGTGCCAGCAAGTCAGCTCTGACTCACAGCAACCCTATGAACAGAAGATCTGCGTCCTCCTCACCATCTCTGACATGCTGGAGCCCATTGCTACAGTCACCACCTCGCTGAGGGTCTGCCTCTCCTTCCCTGACCCTGCACCTTTCCCAGCATGCTATCTGTTTCCAAAGAATGGCTTCTGACAACATACTCAGAGATATGAGACGAAGTTTCACCATCCTTTCCTTCAAGGAGACCATTAGTTGCATTTCCTCCAAGACATACTTCATTGTTCTTCTTTTGATAGTCCTTGGGGTATTCGGCATTCTTCTCCACCACCACCATTAAAGGCATCAATTCTTCTTCTGTCTTCCTGAAGTATAGATCTATAAGTGCTTCATATAGTATGTGTAGATAGATAAAAGGGAGCTTTGGTGGTCTACTGGGTAGGGAGTTGCACTGCCAACACAAAGGCAAGCAATTTGAACCTGCCAGCTGCCTCCTGTATGATTTAGAGCCTATGAAAATGCACTGAAAGGTCATCTATGAGTGGTTCTGACTTGATGTCATTGAATGAGTGAACAAGAAATAGAAATACTTAGTAAAGTATATTATTTTGGGGTACTGTAGAGTCAGAATTGACCCATAGCTGACCTTCCAGTGGGTTTACAGAAGCAATTAATTACATGGGAGGTGATTTCCCATTCTTCTCCCGCAGAGCAGCTGGTGCCTCCAACTGTGTGCCTTCAGGATTGCAGCACAGCTTCTTGCCACTAGGCCACCAGAGCTCCATTATAAAGTATAGGTTTATAAATACTTCAGTCATTTTGAGGAGAATACACACACATACAGATTGAGAGATTTATTTCAAGAAAATGTTTCATGCAGTTGGGGAGACTTTCAAGTTCTGAGCCTATTAGTCAAGTGTCAGGTTGGAGGCTTCCCCTGACTCACATTGTGACAGAGACTGCAAATCAGTAGGTCGGGCTCACATCTCAAGAACCAGAGGCCAGCAGATTACAAGTCCAGTGCCAAATTGAGAGTAAGCTTTGCCAGAGCATCCATGTATATATATATACTGGACGTGAGCTACACCCTCAAGAAAATGGATTGACTTTTGAGCTGATTGCCTTTTCATCAGAGAACAAAAAGGAATATGATCATATTGTCAAAATCAGTCCAATATCGACCAAATCACTGAGAATCATAGTCTAGCCAAGTTGATACAAATCATCACATATACATGATTTTGATCGTTTATGCCAGTTTGCCCTCCGGAGAGGGGCCATTCATTGACGTTCCTACCAGCATCTTAAGTCTGTTCCTGCCCTCTGGCCAATTAAATGTGGTGTTATTCATGCAACAAATAATCTGCTTTGTGCCAGGGCTGTTTGCTGTGGATTTTGCAAAGACCAAAAAATAGACAAAAAAACTTGTATTTGTGGGCTTACTAAAAATGGAGTTCTGGTGGCCTAGTGGATAAGGCTTTTTACTGCCAGCCTAAAGGTGGATGGTTCAAAACCACCATCTGCTTTGAGACAGAAACATGGGCATTCTTCTCCTGTGTGATTTATAGCCTCTGAACACCCACTAGAGGGTCAGCTATGGGTCAGTTCTGATTTGAGGGCCATGTGTTTTGATTTTTCTGTAGTAGAGGAGAGAGACATAAACGGTTTAAATTAATAAAGGATACATAATGTCAGATGAAGCTTCGTCTGATATACTTTGGACATGTTGCAAAGAGGGACCAGTCCTTGGAGGGGGACGTCATGCTTGGGAGGGTGGAGGGACAGCGCAGGAGGGGAAGATCCTCTATGAGGTGGATTGATTCAGTGACTGGGGTAATCGGGATGGGTGTATCAGAGACAGTGTGATTGGCACAGGATAGAGCAGGACTTAGGGCTGTTGTAGGGTCGCTATGAGTCGCAAGCAACTTGACGGCACACAACAACAACGTCAGATGATAACAAAGGCAAAGGAGAAAAATAAAACCAGGAAGGGAAACCAGGTAGTGCCAGGGAAGCAGGTATTGTTTAAGGAGGGCATCACTGAAGATGGCATTTACCTGAAGGAATGAAGATGAATACCTATATGTAATTGGGGAAAGATTTTGCTACTATTGAAAATTATATCTGTTCTCATATTTTCTAACTCTTTATTGGTACTATAAGCAGAAAAATGAAATCTATTGCCTTTGAGTAAATTTGGACTCATGAAGACCCCTTGTGACAGATAGAACTACTCAATAGGGTTTTCTTGACTAATCTTTATAGAAGTTCCAGAGTTTTCTTGTGAGGTATTGCTGGGTGGGTTTGAACCGCCAATATGTAAGTTAGGAGAGGCTGTTCCTTGGAGAGGGGACATCATGCTTGGTAAGGTGGTGGAGCAGCAAAGGAGAGGAAGACCCTCAGCCAGGTGGATTGATACAGTCGTGGCAGCAGTGGGCTCAAGTGTGTCAGACTCTGAGGATGGCACAGGAGAGGTCAGGGCTCAGACCTGTTGCCCACAGGTTTGCTGTGAGTCATACTCAATCTCATAGCACCTACAACAACAAGAAGTCAAGATGGATAAAAGATTGAAACTGCCAGTGAATTCATCT